ATCGCAGTGGGTGGGGTGCCATGGGGTCCACATGTGCCCCAGGGAGGGCACTACAGGAGACGGGGTGTGGGGAGGTCCATGTGTGCTCAGTGAAAGGGCTTTGCAGGATGTAGGGCATCATAGGATCCCTGCATGCCTCAAGAAGGGTGTCACTGGGGACAGGGAATCGTGGGGACCGCGCATGCCCCAGGAAGGGCACTGCAGGAGGTAGGGTGTGGTAGGGTCTGTGCATGCCCCGGGAAGGGCATTGTGGAAGGTAGGACATCACAGGGTCTGTTGACACCCTAGGGAGAGTGTCACGGGGAGGAGGGTGTCACGGGTCCAGGCATGCCCCAGGAAGGGCTTTGCAGGGGGTCATCCACCATCAGAGGGGCTGTGCATGCACCAAGAAGGGTGTCTTGGGGATGGGGCACTGCAGGGTCCATGGGTGTCCTGGGAAGGGTGTCACAGAAGACGGAGTGGCACAGGGTCTGTGCATGACCCAGGAAGGGCATTGCCGGGTACAGGGTATCGCAGGGACTGTGGATGCTCCAGGAAGGGCATCACAGGGGATAGGATGACATGTGTGCTCCAGGAAGGGTGTTGTGGAGGATGGGGTGTCTCAGGATCCCTCTGTCTCCTTAGGAAGGGAGTCGTGCGAGACAAGGCATCACGGGATCCTTCCTCCCCCTGGGAAGGGGGTCCCACGGGACAGAGTGCTGTGATGTTCCTCTGCATGCCGGGAGGGTCCCCCTTGGCAAGCTGTGGCACAGGTGCCCACGGTGATTTGTCCTTCTGATGGCTGTGATGGCTTTGCAGCCCCCACCGCTCGGTGGGGCCACCGGTGTGACCTGGTTTGTCGTGGTGCTGCTGCAGGAGGGTCCCCCAGTTCAGGGAAGCGAACCCCAGCCCTGCGTCACCTCCGGCATAAACTGCTGCGTATGTGGGATTTGCTGTTCTTCCTCCTTCCCCCAGAAGGGTTTAAACCAATAATTATGTTTTCTAGCCTTTGCCAGGCAGAGAAGTGCAGGAATGTGGATGGAATTCCTTTAGGGAAGAAGTTTTTTGAGCTTTGCTCTATGCAGACCTGGCTGGGCTGCTGTGTGCCTCCAGGAGCATCCCCGCTGCTCGCTGGCTCCCAGGACCCGAGGAATTCGGCTGGCTCGCTGCCTGAAGCTGCAGGCTTGGAGAGGAGCCTCCTTCACGCTCAGGGCACGGCCGGGGAGGCGGCTGAGGGAGCGCCGAGGCTTGGCAGACGGCACAGCCTCGCTCCCAGAGAGCGGGATTAGCGTGAAAAGGGGTTGGAAAAACTTTTCCTGGGGAGAAATGCAGCTCGTTTGCATCCGCAGCCCATGGGGACTCCTGCTTGCCCTAAAATGGGAGTATGAGCATGGAGGAAAAGTGACTAACTATGGAGTTAGTGTCTGAGTGTTTCCCCCCCAGCCTTTATTTTGCTTTTATTAGCGCTGCCTGGAGAATGGGCGGTGTCGGAGAAGCTGGATCGGAATTCTTCGGGCCTAATTCAAACCAGCGTCGTGCGCAGACTTCAGAGCCTGCGAGCCGACCTGCAGCCTTTCGGGTGCGCCGAGAGAGACGTGTTGTTTTGGCACGGGAAGATGTGAGACAACTTTCCATCCTCTTTGCGGTTTGGGTAGCGAGCCCTGCGCCGGGAGCCGTGTCTCGAGGAAAGCCACGCTCTTGTTGGCAGAGGTTTACGAAGCCCTGCAAAGCGGGGAGCCCTGCGACAGTCCCGCAGGGATTTCAGGAGGCTGAGCCTGTGGTCTTGTCTCAAAGGTCTCGGCGTCAGGGGCTGTTAATCCCACGGGTGCAACGTCCAACATGGCTGGACCCTGTGCTGCCTGTCACGGCTGCCCGTCGCTCCGGTGGCACCGTTACTGCAGCCCAAGGAGGGAATCTGGGCTGCGAGGCAGGAGATCCTCAGGATTTTTGCTGTCCGTTTCCCTCCCTTCCTGTAGCTTCGCTTGCATAAGGAAAATTAACTTCCCCTCGCACCATTCAGGATCGCAAGAGCTTTTAAGGCTCTTTATCTTTGCCCGTGGCCCCCGATGATGGAAGCGAGCACGGAAAACATGACGGAGAGCTCTTACCCTGCGCCCTGAGCATCTCTGTTTGCTCAAACCCCTGAGCTGGAAGGTGTCTCGAGGGTGGGTGGCAGATCTGCAATGTGGAAGGCGCTGCACTTTTTTTAGGAGGGGAGTCCTGAGCGCTGGAGCTTGTGGAGAAGGGTTGGGGGGAGCCCCAGCGGTCTGGCTCCACAAGCCTTGTAAGCTTCCAACAACTTCAGGTGTCTGGTTCGGCCCTGCTGCAAACAACTTTGTTTAGGAGGAAATTTTAGTCCCAGATTAAAAACGAGCAAAGCAAACACAGGCTGCCCCCGCCTCCGGGATCCAGGCCTGTGCAGCGCAGATAACAGTTGGCCCCCGAGCGAGGGATGTGTGAGTTGAGTCTCTGCCATACACTGGTTTTTAGGACCCCATCTGCAGTCCTCACTCCTGGGCATAAAACTGCTGCCAGTTGGAATGGGATCCTGCTTAAAAAAAAAAAAAAAAAAGCCTCGGTTGCGAGTGTGTT